AGGCGGTGTTGGTCTCGCTGGCCTGAAGCCAAGAGCAACGGATGCGCTGACACGCAATGGACCGATCAAGGGACGCCAGCCCTAGGTAGGCCGACTTAAGACGTCGCCGGAACCAGACCTCGGCGGGGAGCAGCGGCCGGATGTCCTGCGCCATGTCAAGCCGCGCAATGAGCTCGCGGGCCACAGACAGCTGAAGCGCCATGTGACCAATGTGGCGCGCACTCCAGCTTTGCAGTGCCTTAGCGGTGGACTTGAGACGGGCAAAAACGCGCCGGAAAGGGTCCTCGTCAGCCGGGCCAGACTCCCAAGCGCTGGCCACAATCTGGTGGAAGCCTTCCATCTTCGGCCAAAACCTCTCAAAGTGAAACCTGCGAGGCCCCGGGGCGCGCGGGGTGCAGTCAAGCAAAAGCGGCGCATGATCGGAAGTGGCGGAAGAAAGGCAGCGCAGGAAGCAGGAAGGGTGCTCCACAGCCCAGCCAGAGGTGCACATAACCCTGTCAATGCGCTCAAGGGTCGACGAGTCGCGCTCGCTCGACCAAGTGAACCGCCGTCCATGTAAGTAGATGTCCCGAAGCTCCTCGTCAGCAATAAAATGACGCAATCTATTAATGGCCCCACGGTGCAACCGGTCGTTGCTTTTGTCCGAAGCCGTGGCAATGAGGTTGAAGTCGCCGCCAATGAGCCAAGGGCCAGCGCAATAAGGAAAATATCAACATTCACAATATCAAATCAATATCATTAGATTCATCATTGAATTTTTTTTATATTGTATTTATTTGGTATTGTAGATGTAAATATTTTTAATGTAAATTTGATCAAAATTTATATTAAAGTGACTTAAGAAGAAACTAATATGCAAAGTAAAAGAAATGGATTGGGTATCATATTATGATATCATATCATAGCATGTCGAATGAGACAATCTAAGGAGAAATAGATCCTAGCCACAACTTTGTATTGGAGTTCTACAAACAAGTAAATAAAATGATGATATGATACTACTCTGTGATACTATGCATTAGAGAAGTAACTAGTAAGATGTCCGTGCTACGCCACGGAACCACAAAAATGATAATAAAAGTATGTAGGGGAAAGAGTCATAGCTGCAATTTTTAGCATTCCATATGCTCATCAATCAGCCAATTCATTTCCCTTGTACGAAATCCAAGACATTCAAGCACGAGTAGGTAATTACGAAGTTATTCATGCCCTTTAGCTAGCGATGGACAAAAGTAGTACTAAGACCAATGATCAAATAATTCACATCGATAGCATGTCAAAAGAAAGTTGATGAATATTACATCTGAAAGTACAAAAGAAACCATCCTAGCTCATAGTAATTCAGATACATATTTACATAGGGTATCTCCCCTAATGTTGTAGTTCGCCTTATGCCGATCTAGCAATGCTTGCCTCTGCTCAGGTGGTAAACTCAGCCGCCACACTCTCCAGTGTGCGCTCTTCCCTTGCATTTCTTCAAGGGTTAAACTTGGCATGGGAATTCTTCAGTGATCCTTTATCTCTTCCGTAATTTGGGTGTTAAACTTTGCTATCATGTTCCATCACGGTCATGTCTGGCTTTCCTTTGCATCGCGAGCAGAATCATAGTGACATTTTTTTCCTACTCCAAGGGATAATAAATAATCCCTCGGTTCTCCAATAAATGGTATGCGTGCTTTTTGAGATTTAACTTTGACGGTCAATTACACAAAATAATATATAAGTCCTATGATTTGAAAATTATGTCATTCCAAATTCTTTCGAATATGTAATCAATGATATATTATTTGTTATGCATGGCCCATCTTTCATTGGTGAAATTCATGGTCAAACATAATCTCGAAAAGCATGCACACCTTATAGATTGGAACAGAGGGAGTAATATACAGACAAACTATTCAACAATTGTTCTAATTAAAAAACAACTCAAGATGGCGATATCAATCTCCCTCTTTCCTTCTCATGTGCTCCTGCCAAGCACTCGAGCATAGCAGACCATAGTAAAACGAATAAAAAAATGCTTTCAACAATGAATATCTTCATGCATTATAACTGTGTAAAATCTAGTTTAGGGACGAATAAAAAATGGTTTTCAACAGCGAACATCTTCATGTATTCCTTTTCATGTGAGAAGGCAAGTTTTTGACCAGATTTCAGGAGACAACCCAAAATTATCACCAGCCTCTCAAGAGAAGCATCTGATGTGGCCACAAAATGGCCACAATGTAGCAGATTCCAAACAATACTTTGCCACACAGAGGGGCCAAGATGCAGTTCATGAAAAAAGAGCTCCACAAGGCATGTCTCATGTGTCAAAAGAAGAGGAAGAACTCAGATTCCATGGCCCCACGGCAAAGAAATTGGGACATCCCATTCCAATCCCAGTTCTCTTTCCTAGCATAGGACTGTGCGCGCGCTTGATGACAATATCTTCTCCAACTATTGACAAAACTGACAGCATTTACTCAAACACTGCTGAAGGTAAAACCTTTGATCACCAAGAGTATAAAAGAAGTGAGATAGCATCACACAAAACTTGAAGTAGATGTGCTTACTGGTGTTACCTTGTCCAATTGTTTTTGGATATAGAACATCTTCTGGCTTCCCATTGAACGGACAAAAAAGGAAAATTGTTAAGAATAAATACTTGCAATGATGCAGGTCAAATAAGAATCAAATAACTACAGGGGAACTACTAAGCAAAATTTGACAGAAGTGTTAAACTGCAATATTTCATTTCGCAGGTGGCAACAAGGCAAAAGTACACGTATTCGTTAAACTAAGAGATAACTACTCACAACCATAATGCCCTAAACATTACTAAATTACAGAATTTGTTCTAACGGGTGTGCCTCGAAACAATGAAACAGTATTCAACATAAACACCATATATCATTTACTGAGGGGAAACTAAGACTGCCAAGAGACAATATAATGCACTAAAGTACGATTTGGCCACATCGTCTCCGGCTCCACTTCGACCGTTCGGTCTCATCTCTGACCATGTTGGGCCAGTGCACGACATGGTGTGTCCAGTCGACTATGAGTGTCATGTAGGATTTGCCTCGCCGCAAAACTAAACTAAGTAAGATAAAAATGAGATATAACTTGTTCAAAATATTTCCAGCAATTATGCAGGTTAGGTATATGAGTCTAAACTCATGCATATTGTCTTACAAGAGATTACACAGTTTCCCATGGGATTCTAATCATACAGACCTTACACAATATCAAAATTTACTTGCAGAGATTAAAAACTCGTATATGAACTCATAGGATTTTGGGGTAACACATAGTAATGAGATGGAAGGCGCATGTTGAAGTCATGAAAAACCTATCTACAAGGACCACTACACTCATTACTGGGCGTCTCCCTCGGAGTCTCGGACCACATATGAGAAGGATATTACTAATGCTGCATATCTTTTTTCAATTAGTATTTCCAAGCGACAGAAGACAATATTGCATGCCCTTCTTGCTCCATTGATCTCATAGAACTACAGAAGTGTATATATGCTTTTTTGTAAAATAGATAATTCAGGTTGCCAATACACAATAATTTAGAGTGAACTGGGAAGTTAAATTACTTGATACAACAAAGTGGAAAAGCTTATCTTCATTGCTTGATCTTAGGGATTGGGAACTTCTCCACTTAGGAAGGAATTTGGCAATGGTTGGTCATGCTGCTCTAATTACCTGGCACAAAATAATGCAAGTACAAAAATCTGACACGGATCAGAATGAAAATAAACAATCTAATAGAAAATTTGGTAACAACCTGGGGGATAGAGCTCAGTAATTTCAGCAAGGCTAAATCCACATCGGCAGTGGCACAGGCACGCCCAGGAACGAGTGGCTTGCCCAGAAATCCTCCACGCCTGTAATTCCCAGGCCTACCCATGGCGGTCCTGTCGCTAGTAGCCTCCATTTGCAGCACGGAAGAAAGAGACTCTCGTTGGAAGTTTAGGACCTGAGTCAGGCACAAACGGGAATCAACCCCAGCAGCCACAAAGGGAAAAAATGAAGGAACTTACTGTAGAAAACAAACTTGGCCATGGCAGCAATCCCTGCTATCGTCTCTCTGATGGCCTACACGCCAGATCTAGAGGGAGAAATACCCTATCCAAGGGGAGGCAAGAGGGATCCTCGCCAAAATCGACTTCAGTGGTCGCCGGGGAAAGATAGAGGAGAGAGGCTCACCGCAAGGAATTCGGGAGGGGATTCTCGAAGGCTCGTTATCTTCCCCGAGAGAAGGAGAATCTCCACGTGTTCTGTTTCAGGGACAATCGGGCACAATGAGTCATCTCAGCCTCACATTTCAGATCCGACGGTGTAGATGAGATGAAGGCAGGCACGCCATCACCACCAACTCGCTTTTTTATAGGAGTAGAGATATGATAGACTAGTATCATATGTATGAAACTATTTTATGATACTATCCATTGTGAGAGGTATAAGAGTATTCTCTAGTTCCACCTATGAAAAACAATAGCGTGACATTATGGGTATACCAACAATGAGAGACATTTTTTCACTTTTTCTAGAGACCCCAAAACCATCTTTCCTGCTAGGCGTGGAGCATTCACAGTGACCTGGCTTTACACGCTCAATCGACTAATTAACTTCGGTCACATGTTTATAAACGATCTGCATCAGCTTTCAATACCTTGAAACTAGCACATACGAATTACAACTATGCGAGAAGTATCACGAGTACACATTCATGGCGGGTAGTTTCGTAATTTTCCAGGAAGTCCCTAGAACTATAGAACGTACAAATCGTGCACTGTATGCTTTGTCTTTTTCTCTTTACGGTACCATGCATCCGAGCTTTTTACCTTCCTTCCTTTCGGGACCCCTTCCTTCATCTTTTTATCGTTCACTTCTATCTACAAATGAAGACGCACATGGACAATATTATATATACCAGCCTGCCTTCTGTTCGGAGTGATCATATGTAGCTAGCTAGCTAGCTAGGTCACTCTGAAGGGAAAGAGAAAATGACTGGAGTGGGAAGAAATAGGCTGCTGTTGATCTGCTATCTCTTCCTCCTTGCTATGCTTATCACTGGTGCGTTCTACGTACTCTTAGCATGCATGCACACGTTCTACTGCTGCCTGCCTTCTCTTGTTAATTAACTCATTCAAAGGCTCGTAGTAGCTTACTGATTTGTATCTTGTTCTTCTATCATGTACTCTACATGGACGGAATGAAGGTGGTGGTGGTGTTCTAGCTGCTCGTCCGTTCTCGCCTTGGACTCTCGAGACAGAACATGAGGTAATGCATATGCATGGCCGGTGCATTTCGTGCATGCATGCCCACGTACACTCTTTGATTAAGTGATTATGTATTATCAAATCCAATGATGCCTAGCTCCATGCAAATCACACCCAGTACCACAGTATGCAAGCAAGTCAGCTGTTAGATCTATTTGTGCATATAGGATAGGAAATAGGAGTACACGTATATCTTCCTCTCATCCCGTCTCCGTGAGTATGTATAGTAGCACGACGAAATTAAGGATGCTCTGGGAAAGTTCAGACCAGCTATTAATTGATTTTCGACGCCATTCTTGTATGAACATATATATGATGCAGGGCTTAGCAAGACCAGAAGGAGGACCACCTGCCGCGGGGAGCTGGCCAACGGCGGTGATGGACCGGCGCGGGAGGAGGCGGCGGCTGGTGGGGTCGAGGGCTCCGACGTGCACCTACAACGAGTGCCGGGGTTGCCGGTACAGGTGCAGCGCTCGTGGAGTCCCCGTCGACGCCACCGATCCGATGAACAGCGCCTACCACTACAGATGTTTCTGCCATGTCTAGGTGACGGCTCGGCTATTGTGTTGTTTGCTCGTTTTGACGACGGAAATGGAGTGTTTCTGTGCTAGATTCGCATGGGTATATGGTTGTCTAGTTGTCTTTGTCGAATAAATTGGGCAGAAGACCGGCTGCTAGTGTTAATTGACCGAGATGAACTAGCTAGGCCATCTCCAGCTTATCGATCTGTGATGTCGCGGGTCTAAGTATTGATTCTGATCCCTTATTCTGTATAACGTTGCATGAAGAGTGGATTTATTTGTGTACCTTAATTGCAGCTATGTGTCTCTTACGTTATATATTTTTTCAAAACATTTTTTAAAATAAAAATCCAACAATATACTTTTTGTATCACATAATTTATATTTTCTTAGTTTTACAATGGTCAAAGTATGACCCAAAATACGCAGGGTCCAATAACGGAGAGTACCTATTTACTACCTTCGTTTGGGTTTATTAGTCTTGTCCTATTTCAAAGCAAATTTTGACTATATATTTGACTGCAAAAAGGCTAATGCATGTCATAATTTGTCGCATCACATCGTTTATGATAGTGTTACCATTGTAGACGATATTTATAATTTTATTGTTTGCGTTATTGCTGCATCACGCACGGTGCCTACAACAAACTGTATGGCATAGACTATCCATCACACACAATTTTTATGTGGAATGTTTGTGCAAAGTGGCCTAATGTAAACATTTGTCCAGAGAAAGTTGTGTGTGATTGTTCATTGATCCAATACGTTTGCTTTATAGAAAATTGTTTGGGTTGTCTGATGTCATCGTCCACAATGTTGTCTCAATAACTGTCTGCAATAGAAAAACCTAATAAGCAGGCTAATTGGCCTATTATTTTTATTGCATTTAGTAATCAAATTGACATTTCATATCAAACACACATTATATTTCATTTTTGTATTACGGCAACCAGGATTTCATAATTGAAATACATCAGAATACAACATTATATAGCTTCAGCACTCAGTTACACCATATAGACATATAGCTAGACATCCCATTACACAACAACACCAAATTTCATATGCAACATCTAAAACATTTGTAAATTAGCATCATAGACAGTAGATAGATAGATGAATCTCATCTGAAAAACTGCTGAAGTAGAAGGCGAATGTTGAGTCTTCAATGATGTTAAAGATCTTTGCAACTTTAGGCCAGTACTTGTGGATGATTGATCGCTCATCCTTCGTCCTCTTGAGGAACACTTCAATATTGTGTCGTGTGTGTTGTATGAATATCTTTCTCGTCTCTTGACCATACATATGGTTTGAGAGGTAATCATCGGTTAACTGCTTTAAAAAGACCTAAAAATAAATATATGCATAAATACCTGGTAGAGCATCTCAAACTACCCCATTCAAGGTACTTTGAGTCACCATGGCTTTGAAGGTACTTTAAGATCGGCCATTTTGGGTGTTGTCGTCCGGCGGCGTATTAAAAGACTCTTGGCAGTGCTAGGGTTAGCTACAGTCCGAGGCATGCCACTATCATAGTCGAAATCGTTCAAATACATATATGCGCGCTGCCACATGTAGTCGTGCAAACCTGCTTCTTCCCCATGTCCCAGAATCTAGAGTAGCTCTACGGCATGCCTGCACACACTCCATTCTGAGAAGCATGCATGCCCTTGTCTCCATCCTAGGAGCTACCTTAACACGAGCATCATGTCCTCGTCGTCGAAAAGCACCCTATTGTCATCGTCGCTGGGGCAACAGATAACCTCTCTCGGCGATTCTTAGACCGTTGTTGGATTCCCCCCTTCCCTCCACACGGTCACGCTCGATAGCTTGTTTTGCTTGGCATGGATGTCGATGAAAGCACGCTAGTTCGACGACGACGAGCGGGGTACCGGTTGGCATTGAGAGGGTGGAGACGAGCAGAGCCATGTGGCATTGGATAGTCAAGAGAGCCAAGTGGCATTGGACAGTAAGAGAAGGGTACCGGGTAAGGTCGGGCAGACGATGGTGGCAAATGTCAAGTGCAGATTGACTACTGTTTTGGTTCTACGAGATGTCTGTCACGGACCTAGTGTGTCTAGCAAGCTCGGCATGGCGTGTTCACGAAGTCAGTTTATTTTTTGCGGCTTGTCCGTTAATCCATTTACGTGATTTAGACGGCGTGGGCGGAGCGGGCTCGCGCACATCCTGGTCAACCGGCATCTTGACATTGACAAGCTGCAGGACACAAACTCTAAAGACCATATTGTTGTGCTAAGATAATATCATATATTACCTTCGTTCCATCTCTTAGATTTTTTTAGATACGAGTGTATCTAACATTAAAACGTATTTAGATACATCTTTATCTAGACAAATCTAAAATAAGCAATTCATGACCAAGGAGGGAGTAATTATTCGGCATTTGATGTGGCCCCTACGGTGACTAGCGTGGCTTATATATTTAAATCTATACCTATACTCATAAAGTCATTATTGCTTTTGCCTGTCTGTCGTGAAATTGTCCCTAAATTTGTTACTCCCTCCTTTCCGGTTTATAGGGCTTATCTTAAAATTTTAGTTTTTCCATTTTATAAGGCTCAATTTGGTTGTTTCCCATCCCATGTTCAGACTTCAAGGTGCATTAAATCATTGCATGTAAGTATTAAAAAAACTGACCAATGCATGCACTTTATGCATGCATGCATTGCAATTAATGCATTCGTAAACATAATTTTTTAAGGAAAACAAAAGCATTAATTGGGTGCTTTTGCAAACTATAAAAAATATTTCACCACTTATCATCTACCTTGGTTGGTGAAATTTTTGAATTGAGCTTTATAAACCAGAAATGAGGGAGTATAAACTACATCTAATGCCACCGGTAAGTGAAAAAATGGTATGCATAAGTACATTTTTTTGCTTAAGTGATTGGCTGTCGCCTTAGATTCATATACAGCTATCACTCTTCCAATCACATGCACACGGGTGCACAATTGGCTATTGACTCATGATTCCAATTGGGGGCCTGAGTTTGAATCCTGCTTCTCCCTCTTTTCTGTCTTTTCTCTCTAAATTTTTTGTTGGCGTAGAATAGAGTTGCATCGCGCCCTTTTATCTAAAATTTTAGTTGGCGTACAATAGGTTGCACCGCCTGAGCGTCGCTAAGCAGATGGGCTGGACCATGTTGCAATTTTGGCCCAGCTATGGCCCCTTTTAACCTTTTTCGGAGATTTAAGTACTTCTTAAAATATTCATATCTTTCAAACCGTAACTTAAAATTAAACATGTTATATACGGAAATCGCACAGAAAAATATGTAAATGTCAAATATGCTATTATCATGCATGTTAGTTATCTCTAAATTTTTGATCGGATGTACACTTAGGGCATGTTTGGTTCGTGACTACGCATGCCACAGCTCCTTACGCCTAAACTTAGCCGTTGTTTGCTTTATGCCGGTGTTATGGCTTGCCGCACCGCTCACCACAGCTTGCTAGTTCATTTTTCACGCCACAACTCGCCAAAAGTGTGGCGCTCGTTCCGTTCGCCGCACCTATGGCGCGGCCGCATCTTCGGTGTGGCGTGTTCTGGTGATAAACCAAACACGCCCTTAATTAATACTTTTATTTAGATGATGTATTTTGAAAATGCTTATTATATATGTTCTTTGCCGATTTAAATTGGCCAGATAGGATAGTTTGATGCTCTCAAAAAGTCTATCATTGGCAGTTGGCACCATAGGGGATGTATATGCTAAAGGTTATACACATACATAATCATCCTCTCTATTTCGGCGAGCGCTCAATAACCAGCACATATAGATGATGTACACTAAACTATTCATATGAGCTTTATGTAAACCAATGGCTTAATGCAGATTTCCAAAAAGAATGGTGCCTATAAAGACTTCTTTAAGAATATCAATGTTGACATGCAACTCTAAACATTCGTTATGCATGTCCTTACGGATTAATTGTTTTCGATGGAGATGTCCAATATGTGCTATTATGCGCATCCTATAATTGAGTACCAAAATGTACTTTGCTACTTTTAGCCTAATGCACTATTTGTTGGGCATCGTTGAGGAGGAACACCAGCAAAGGCATGAATTGATACAAGAACCTAGGTAGATATTTTTGTTGTCTAATAAATTGGACGCACTTTTAGTACACTTAAAAATTGTCTCAACTTTATGTCTTTGCGTAACACCACATATCATGTTGTTTCTCGTATGACATCGTGAAATAATTTTAAGGAATTTGTTGATGGCGTCCAATGTGTATGACCGATGATTTTTTTACTCCCGTTGCAATGCACGGACCCCTTTGCTAGTCAATCATATCATTGGCCCATCGGCAAATATTAATAGCAAGGACCGTAATAATTGGTTGCCGCTCCTCATAGGAGGAGGCATCAACGAACGATTGTTCCTTGGGGTTTCAATTGAGTGTACAACTTTTCCTTCGCCGAGAGAACCACCCAGGGCGAACTAGGCCCAGTCAACCCATTCAGTACTCTTCCTAGCCCGGTCATAATTTTACAAAAAAATCCAAAATTTTGCCATCTTATGAAAACAACAATTAAAAATGAATTATCACTAGATCAAGGTTTTTGGATGCATAAAAAAGTTGTCATGATTTTACTTGCCATGAACCATAAACTAAAATTGCCATGATACATGCACTTAAAATTGCCATGGTTCATATAAAAAAATCATGGTCAAAGTACTGGAATTGTCATGGTCAAAATACTAAAATTGCCATGATCCATAAACTAAAATTGCCACATGGCAACTTTAGTGTAAACACTATGGCAACTACAGTGTAAACATCATGACAACTTTTGGCCAAATTTTTTTTTCTTCAAAACATATCAACATAAGATCTAGTTTAAAGATCTCGTCGAGACAGATTTAATGGTGAAAACGGATTTTAATTGAACTTTTTAATTAGGAGATAAACCATTTTAAGCCAAAAACCAAAAAGATACCCGTTGATGTCAGATGTTCCGACGTGGCAAAATGAATGACAATGGAGACGTTTGGGCCATGTTGATTCGTGCCACACGTGTGGCCGTTATCATTTGGGAATTTAAAAGTTGGCTATCTTCCTAATAATAAAAATGCCATGTACAAAAACAAACTTGATTTTTGAACATTAGGAAATAAAACTGCCATCCTCTTAATAATAAAAATGGCATCTTCTTAATAATAAAAATGACATGTACAAAAACAAACTTGAGTTGTGAGCATTACAAAATATATATTTAAATTTGCCATGTGACAAAGGTAAAAAAAATTATAAAAACTACCATGTTATTTTCTTTCAGAAAAATTGTCATGTACTACCTAAGAAAAAAAACATCTTCTGCCATCCTAGTTAAAAAAAGGAGGAACGGGAATCAATCCTATGTCTCCTAGGTGTAGGTTGATGTCAGTAGCTACTGCAGTGCGCAGCTGTGTTTTGAAAAGAACAACACACGTTGGGTTTTGTATCACAGCGGACGAGTTTTAAATCTAACGTGTCTTCTATCCCTATGCCAAGATTCGTGCAACGAAACCGAAGGAAGAGGGCGTGTTCGCCGGATTGACCCCATGACGAACGTTTGCCCGTTAACATTTGTTAACATTTCCGTAATCGGAAGTCAAAAGAATCCTTGAGTTCCTTCGTAGTATATGGCACTTTCCCTTTCCGACGTGCATGACCAATCGTTGAATGGAATCGTGCACCTGAATTGCATCCCAAAAAACAAGAGTGGCATGGGACATGGTCCGCACCACACCACATACTGCTCCTGTTGCGATAGCTGTGGCTCGGAACCGGAGCAGCCTCCAAGCTGTCTCGCCCAGCGAACAACGGGGCGCCAACTCACGTCAGGCGTGCCCGCACCGCAGTCCGCACGACGCATCCACCCGTCCCACCGACAGCGTGGACCCGCCGCCAGCACTCCCGGGTCCACCGCCGAGGCCGCGCTAGCCGTGCCGTGCCGTGCCGGTGCGTGCGTCCCACTCGCCACCCACTCGTCTCGTAACTCTCGGCTACTCCTGGTTTCGGCGCTTCCCTCACCACCCCACCCCAGCAAAAAGCAAGGCAGCCACACCTCGGCCTCGGTGTGCGCGTTCGGTCAAAACCCACCGCGCCGCTGCCCGCCTCCCCCCAAAACGCCACTACAAATCTCGCGCATTCCCCCCAGCAGCCGCTCGCCAGAGCTCCCGAGCGTGCCGCGCCGACGAGACGACGGAAAGGCGGCGCCTCCGAGCTCGAGGGATCACGAGCGAAGGATGGGGGACGACTCGGACGGGGAGGCGGAGGAGTACCTGTTCAAGGTGGTGATCATCGGGGACAGCGCGGTGGGGAAGAGCAACCTGCTGTCCCGCTACGCGCGCAACGAGTTCAACCTCCACTCCAAGGCCACCATCGGGGTGGAGTTCCAGACGCAGAGCATGGACATCGACGGCAAGGAGGTCAAGGCCCAGATCTGGGACACCGCCGGCCAGGAGCGCTTCCGCGCCGTCACCTCCGCCTACTACCGAGGGGCCTTCGGCGCGCTCCTCGTCTACGACATCTCCCGCCGGGGCACCTTCGACAACGTCGGACGATGGCTCCAGGAGCTCAACAGTACGCACCCTCTCCGCCCGCCCGCGTGCTTCCTTCCTTCTTTCCTTGCTTAATTAATTAGCTCCCATGCTTGCTTACGGCTTGTACTGTCCGTGCGCTTGGATCAATTGATTCCTTATTTAAACTCCCATAAAAAAAGTAGATTCGGTAAGATCGTGTAGATCTAAGTTGGTCCTGGTCGGCGTCGAAAGGGACACCAGTGCTCGCGCCTAGCTTGTAGACGCCTAGATGGTGATTGATTGGGTTGAGTGTTCTCCGATACATAGCTGTAGAATTGTCCCACCGGATGGGTTGGGCGACCTGTCCTGAATCTGGATCTGAGTCCTCATGTAAAGGCTTGTTGCGGAATGTTTGAGGAGTGGATGCAAGGACCACGTCGGGTGACTGTAATTGCTGTGCTAGTTGCTTGTTTTGGATTCGGCATTTGTGGGAACAAGTATAGAAGTTATCCTCCGACATTTTTTTTTTGATAAGTCAGGACTCAGGACTGCTAATTTGTGGTGAACTATTTGCAGTTTCAAATTTCTGACATCGGAGGCTGCTTAGCTTGAGTTCTTCAGTGTTAAAGATGTTCCTAGACATAGTTACCGTTGTCACGCTTTAAGTTTGTTATTAATGTTTGAGGACAAACCTTTTTTATGGATGCCGGCCACCATTTATTCTCCATTTCCCTTCTTAGGCAATTTTTTCACTTGTTGCTGTTGGAAACAGTCAACCATCATAGAAAGATGCATTGTCTTGGTTCATTCCTTTTTTATGTACATGGCGACTTTATCTAGGATGTGTCACTACCAGAAGGCAAAGCTTGGTGTAAGAGAAAGCTATGCTCATAACACATTTGTGTTAGGCTGAACAAATGTATCCTTGACTCTAGTTGCAATTTGTGTTTTACTGTCAATTGGCATGCCATGAAACTTAGGAGAAAGGACAATGCATCCGAATAATCCTAGCTACCTAGTACGGAGTATATTGTCATTTGGCATACAAAGTTTTGAAACGCACTAAACAAGCACCACGGTGTTATTGGAACTTGGAAGATACTAACATAACACGATGGTCGACAATTTTACATTTTGTCACTTGCACTGTTTGTGTTGTGCCATATTTTTGTTTTTGTTTTGTAGCAGTTTCTCAGAATGCTTTTACTGCATGTCTCAGCATACATTTTATAGACTGAATTGAAAATGATATGGGCTTTGCTTATGCTTGATCCCCAGAAGTGTGTAATGCTTTTGTGGCTTTTGGATGGTGAAAATAGTTAGATTGCATAGGTGTGGATATATCGGAAGGTACCCCTATATGATAGGCATTGTTGAATCGATAACATTGTGCTTATGATGGTTGGTAACACTATTGTTATGATTTTCTTGGTGCTAGTTTCTTGCACCATCCAACTACTAGTGATATACTTGATCATTTGGTTTCATTTTGCCACCTTAAAAGCAATAAATCGTATCCCTTGGGAATGATCTGTCATGTGTTACCTTTGGGTTTTGTCCCCTGGACGCATTTTCTACTTTCCATGGTTCTGTTTTCTTGCTTGATGGCTATCACTGCTTGAGCTGATACATGTCCCTTGTGCAGTCATGACAAGTCATTCCTTGCACTTCTGGTTCTTTACATCTGCGTTTTCCTTGATATTAGCTATTAGAACAATTCTCCTTTTCACATATCGCATGCATTTCCTCTGAAGTAACCCAAACGTATCCTCAAATCTAATGCAGCACATTCTGACACCACGGTGGCCAAGATGTTGGTAGGCAACAAATGCGATCTGGAAAACATCCGTGAAGTGCCAGTGGAGGAAGGCAAAGCACTTGCCGAATCCGAGGGACTCTTCTTCATGGAGACCTCGGCTCTGGACTCGACGAACGTCAACACGGCATTCGAGCTCGTCATCAAGGAGATCTACAGCAGCGTGAGCAGGAAGATCCTGAACTCCGACTCATACAAGGCCGAGCTATCCCTCAACAGGGTGAGCATCGACGACGGTGACTCGAAAGACGGCCAGAAGCAAACTAGCCGGTTTGGGTGCTGCTAGCCAATCTTGGTACATTGTCGACTATTGGGTATTACTGGGATGTGATGATTTTTTTTCTGGTCATCGGTATTGTTTGTAAACATGTAACCCAAAATTGGATTCTAGTTCTGTTACACATCTGAGTTACAGAGGAGGATAGTTGTGTTAATGCAAGAGTGGAGACGAACTGTTTGTCGCTGTTAACCGAAAAGCCATGCGGTTCAGAGTTGTCACATTTTGTCAAATTTTATGGGAGGTCAGGGCAACTCCAATCCGGTGCGCCAAATGGCTGCCTCTCTTTGGCCATCCAACCCAACGCGCCACTGAATGATTGCCCCTGTTTTTTTTCCCTATACCTGCGGTGGCGGAGCTAGAAAATATGTATTAGGGAGGACAAGTGTTGCTAAAACAGGTTAGGGAGGGGCAAACTATTGAAAATTTGATTTTTAGCAGCAAATTATTAGTAATTATGGCACTCTTCATAGCAAATCAACACTAAATTCCTTATGTCTCTCTTCATAGCAAATCAACACTAAATTCCTTATGTCTCCGCCACTGTATACCCGGAGCACTCTAAATATGTAAAGATAAATATCACCATTCTTTCATAATCATGTTGTACAAATATCTCAATGCAATAATAATTGAAATATAAATATTACAATCCAAACATGAAGTTTTGCAATAAAATAGTTTAAACTTGAATTTAGCTTAACCGGACACATTTTTTAGTCTTCCATTGAAGGGTGCACAAATGTTCATCTAAAGCTACTCATGAGTTTCTTGATGGCGAATTTGTTTATGTATTTGGATAAAATCCTCAAATGTCGTTGGATTCTGCTATGAAAGTTTGCCATGATCATTCATCTCCTCAAACTCTCGGCCATGGCGAACTCGGTCACCCTCATCCTACACAATCACGTTCATGATGTTGTCATCACGTCCCACAATGTCTCTGCATCCCATAGTCCTCAAACAACCGCAAAACGGAATTGGAGCACTACCATTGCTCTCTCGACATTCTTTCTAGCTCCTTCTTGTGTTTTGGCAAAGTAAGATCTTTTCTTACCCCTAAGCTCAGAGATGATCTTGTCGAAGGTCGCCCACGGAGGATAGATACCTAAGATAATAACCCATTTTGTTGTCATGACCGTTGATGGTATAGTTGCATGGAGGAGCTTCTCCCACACACAATCTTCAAACAATGGAGACAGCTACAGCACGTTGATGTCATTGTGAGACCCGGGCATCCCAAAGAAAGAATGTCAAATCTAGAGATCTTGTGATGCAATTACTTTAGGAATGATGGTGGGCTTCTTACAATGGCCTTATGTTGGCCTTGTTGAGCATATCGGCAATTCTTCCATTTCCAGTGCAATCCATGAATTCGAGCATACCTGGTCACCCTCTTGCTTCTGATAGCGTCATGAGCCTTGCGGTGTCTTCGACAGTTGGTTCTCTTAAGTACTCCGGTCCAAACACCTTCACTACAACAGTGGAAAATATAAACATGGCTTCGAGACATGTGCTTTCAGACATTCGAAGATACTTGTCCGCACGGATCTATGTCCATGCCATAAGTAAGCATCCTGAGTGCAATCGTGCACTTTTGGTAACCAGGAATCTAGTGGTTCCAAGGACATCATTCAACAAGATGAAGTAGTCATTATAGGCTCGGATACCATTGTAGAGGCGGTCAAACACAATTGTTGCATCCGGAATTGACGGCGGAAATATGACTCGAATAGTGCATCCGGGACACAGTAGTCGTCCATCAACATCATATGCTCCCGTCTCTATCGATTCACCAATCAGTGTCCCTTGATTGATCCCTTGATTTCCTATTTGGTGCTTGAAGGAAATATGCTCTAGAGGCAATAATAAAGTTATTATTTATTTCCTTATATCATGATAAATGTTTATTATTCATGCTAGAATTGTATTAACCGGAAACATAATACATGTGTGAATACATAGACAAACAGAGTGTCACTAGTATGCCTCTACTTGACTAGCTCGTTAATCGAATATGGTTATATTTCCTAGCCATAGACATGAGTTGTCATTTGATTAACGGGATCACATCATTAGGAGAATGATGTGATTGACTTGACCCATTCCATTAGCTTAGCACTTGATCGTTTAGTTTGTTGCTATTGCTTTCTTCATAACTTATACATGTTCCTATGACTATGAGATTATGCAACTCCCGTTTACCGGAGGAACACTTTGTGTGCTACCAAACGTCACAACGTAACTGGGTGATTATAAAGGTGCTCTACAGGTGTCTCCTAAGGTACTTGTTGGGTTGGCGTATTTCGAGATTAGGATTTGTCACTCCGATTGTCGGAGAGGTATCTCTGGGCCCTCTCGGTAATGCACATCACTTAAGCCTTGCAAGCATTGCAACTAATAACTTAGTTGCGGGATGATGTATTGCGGAACGAGTAAAGAGACTTGCCGGTAACGAGATTGAACTAGGTATTGAGATACCGACGATCGAATCTCGGGCAAGTAACATACCGATGACAAAGGGAACAACGTATTTTGTTATGCGGTCTGACCGATAAAGATCTTCGTAGAATATGTGGGAGCCAATATGAGCATCCAGGTTCCGCTATTGGTTATTGACTGGAGACATGTCTCGGTCATGTCTACATAGTTCTCGAACCCGTAGGGTCCGCACGCTTAAAGTTTCGGTGACGATTGTATTATGAGTTTATGTGATTTGATGTACCGAAGGTAGTTCAGAGTCCCTGATGAGATCAAGGACATGACAAGGAGTCTCGAAATGGTCGAGACGTAAAGATCGATATATTGGACGACTATATTCGGACATAGGAAAGGTTCCGAGTGATTCAGGTATTTTCGGGGGTACCGGGGAGTTACGGGAATACGAGAAAGAAGTAATGGGCCTCATGGGCCAAGTGGTGGAAGAGAGGAGGCAGGGCGCGCGGCCCCCCTATCCCAAACTGAATTGGACTAGGGGGCCGGCCCCCCTTTCCTCCTTCTCCTCCTTCTCCTTCCTTCTCCTTCTCCTCCTTTCTTTCCTCCTCCAAGTAGTAGGAAAGGGGAGTCCTACTCCTACTAGGAGGAGGACTCCTCCTCCTGGCGCGCCCATAGAGGGCCGGCCGGCCTCCCCCTTGCTCCTTTATATACAGGGGCAGGGGGCACCTCTAGACACACAAGTTGATCAGTTGATCTCTCCCAGCCGTGTGCGGTACCCCCCTCCACCATATTCCACCTCGGTTATATCGTAGCGGTACTTAGGTGAAGCCCTGCGTCGGTAGCAACATCATCACCGTCACCACACCATCGTGCTGACGTAACTCTCCCGTGAAGCTCTGCTGGATCAGAGTTTGCGGGACGTCATCGAGCTGAACGTGTGCTGAACTCGGAGGTGCTGTGCGTTCGGTACTTGGATCGGTCGGATCGTGAAGACGTACGACTACATCAACCACGTTGTGCTAACGCTTCCGCTTTCGGTCTACGAGGGTACGTGGACTACACTCTCCCCTCTCGTTGCTATGCATCACCATGATCTTGCATGTGCGTAGGAAAATTTTAAAATTACTACGTTCCCCAACAGTGGCATCCGAGCCAGGTTTTATGCGTTGATGTTATATGCACGAGTAGAACACAAGTGAGTTGTGGGCGATATAAGTCATACTGCTTACCAGCATGCCATACTTTGGTTCGGTGGTATTGTTGGATGAAGCGGCCCGGACCGACATTACGCGTACGCTTACGCAAGACTGGTTCTACCGACGTGCTTTGCACACAGGTGGCTGGCGGGTGTCAGTTTCTCCAACTTTAGTTGAACCGAGTGTGGCTACGCCCGGTCCTTGTGAAGGTTAAAACAGCACCAACTTGACAAACTATCGTTGTGGTTTTGATGCGTAGGTAAGAACGGTTCTTGCTAAAGCCCGTAGTAGCCACATAAAACTTGCAACAATAAAGTAGAGGGCGTCTAACTTGTTTTTGCAGGGCATGTTGTGATGTGATATGGTCAAGACATGATGCTAAATTTTATTGTATGAGATGATCATGTTTTGTAACCGAGTTATCGGCAACTGGCAGGAGCCATATGGTTGTCGCTTTATTGTATGCAATGCAATTGCGCTGTAATGCTTTACTTTATCACTAAGCGGTAGCGATAGTCCTGGAAGCATAAGATTGGTGAGACGACAACGATGCTACGATGGTGATCAAGGTGTCGCACTGGTGACGATGGTGATCATGAAGGTGCTTCGGAGATGGAGATCGCAAGCACAAGATGATGATGGCCATATTATATCACTTATATTGATTGCATGTGATGTTTATCTTTTATGTATCTTATCTTGCTTTGATTGACGGTAGCATTATAAGATGATATCTCACTAAATTTCAAGATAAAAAGTGTTCTCCCTGAGTATGCACCATTGCCAAAGTTCGTCGTGCCCAGACACCACGTGATGATCGGGTGTGATAAGCTCTACGTCCATCTACAACGGGTGCAAGCCAGTTTTGCACACGCAGAATACTCAGGTTAAACTTGACGAGCCTAGCATATGCAGATTGTTGGAAATATGCCCTAGAGGCAATAATAAATTGATTATTATTATATTTCCTTGTTCATGATAATCGTTTATTATCCATGCTAGAATTGTATTGATAGAAAACTCAGATACATGTGTGGATACATAGACAACACCATGTCCCTAGTAAGCCTCTAGTTGACTAGCTCATTAATCAATAGATGGTTACGGTTTCCTGACCATGGACATTGGATGTCGTTGATAACGGGATCACATCATTAGGAGAATGATGTGATGGACAAGACCCAATCCTAAGCCTAGCACAAGATCATGTAGTTCGTATGCTAAAGCTTTTCTAATGTCAAGTATCATTTCCTTAGACCATGAGATTGTGCAACTCCCGGATACCGTAGGACTGCTTTGGGTGTGCCAAACGTCACAACGTAACTGGGTGGCTATAAAGGTACACTACGGGTATCTCTGAAAGTGTCTGTTGGGTTG